TATTTATTTTCTGTTTGAGTTAAGCTTTATGTTTTATGTGGGAAAATAACTCCTTCCTTCTTGTTTTTATATTCCAAAATATTGATTTTAGCAATTTTAACTTAAGGCCCCATTTGCTTAAATATGAACTTAATTCAGTCTGTCTTTAAAATAAATGTAAGTGGGAGGTGTTTGGCTCACTGGTTAAGCCACTGTTTTGGATGCCTACATGTCAGATTAGGATGCTGAAATTCAAGTCCCAGCTGCGTTCCCCAGCCTGACTTCCTGTTGGTGCAGACTCCAGTGGGGTAACAGAGCCTCTGCCACCAGCATGGAAGACCTAGATTGAGTGGAGCTGCTAAATCAGCCTGGCTCAATCCTGGCTGTTGTGGGCATTTGGGGAGTAAAATAACAGATGGAAGATTTCAGTCTGTCTCTGTTTTTTAAGTAAGATGAAAATAAGTTGTAAAGAAAATTTCCTGTCCCTGCACCCATTTAGAAAGGTATCTATTTCAAAATATTCTTAGAAAAATTACATTTACATGATGTAGATAACTAGATTAGCACCCACAAATTCGATTTAAATACCCACTGGCTAAGTCCTAAGTAAATTTACCTTTTTTAAGTAAGTTTTTTTCCCCCTGAAGTTATTTGCATTGACTTGTTTGGGCAGCAGAAAAAGAGGGAAAGAGAAGTGCAACCAGCCAGACATCTTCTATCCATAGTTGGACTCCTTGAAATACCCACAGTCTCCAGCAGTGGGCCAGGCTGAAGCCAGAAGCTGGAACACCATCTGGTTGCTGGCAGCCAGATGCTTTAAGCTCTCATCTGTTGCTCTCCAAGGATATATGTATTCAGGAAACTGGAATCTTAAGTGGACCCGAGACTTCAACATTCTGATATGGGCTGCAAGTGTTGTCCCAGCAGTGACTTCACAACTGCACCTAACATGCTCCAGCGTGATGAATTTTTGTTCTGAATACTTGCCCTTGGCTCAATACAATCTGAAAATGTGTTGCTCTTCCTGATGCTTTTGGTGAATTATGTTGGTTCCATTCCATGTGTATAGGAGTGAAATTATAGAAATGGCATATAAAGCAATTGCAATATATTCTAGCTTCTTTTTTATATGATTCCTTGGAAAGGTGACTGTATGTTTAATTATTCAAGTTGGAATAAATAGAATAAAATACTATTTGTTAATTACACCTAGGGCATGTGGGGTCATTACTTCCTGATTCACATGAGCTTTAAGGTGAGGATCAAAGGTAGATAAAATTATCCACTTAGTTGACTTGAAATTGCTGCTCTTTTCACTTGCTCCTTATCCTATAGGACACGTTTAGGAGACCAAGAAATGTTACTAAATCTGAATAAAGGGTAATGGGATGAACAAAATACAATTTGCCTTCTGTATCTGTGAGTTCCACAGTTGTGGATTATTCATCCTCATTACAGATTGAAAAAGATTATTTTAGTTGCATCTGAAGGTAGGCATTTGACCTAGCAGGTAATTTTTCAGTTATGATGCCCATGTCTTGTATATGGGTTTTATACCAGCTTCTAGTTTATTTTTTAAAGATTTATTTATTTTTATTGAAAAAGCAGATTTATAGAGGAGGAAGTACAGAGAGAAAGATCTTCCATCTACTGTTTCACAGTCCAAATGGCCACAATAGCCAGAGCTGAGCTGATCCAAAGCCAGGAACCAGGAGCTTCTTCCAGGTCTCTCATGTTGGTGCAGGGTCCCAGGGCCTTGGGCTGTCCTTGACTGCTTTTGCAGGCAACAGGCAGGGTCCTGGTATGTGCAGGGCGAGAATTTAACCACTGAGTCACAGTGCTGGGCCTTTTGTTAAAGATTTATTTATTTGAAAGGTAGAGAAACTGGGAAAGACAGCAAAAAAGATCTTTAATCTGCTGATTCACTGCCCAAATGGCCACAAACACCATGGCTGGGTCGTCAGGACGAGGCAAGCCTCTTGTGTAACAGGGGGTCCAAGTACCTGAGCTAACCTTTGCTGCTTAGTGAAGAGCTGGATCAGGAGCAGAACAGCTGGACTTGAACCAGCAGTCCAGTGTGGGCAAACACTGGCCCAGCCTCCAACTCTTTATTTTTCAAAGATTTATTTATTTTTTAAAAAGGCAGATGTTTACAGAGAGAAGGAGATACAGAGAAAAAGATCTTCTATCCACTGGTTCACTCCCCAAGTGGCCATAATGACCGGAACTGAGCTGAGCCAATCCGAAACCAGGAGCCAGGAGCTTCTTTCCGGTCTCCCATGTGGTGCAGGGTTCCAAGGCCTTGGGCCATCCTCCACTGCTTTCCCAGGCCATAGGCAGGGAGCTGGATGGGAAGTACAGAAGTCAGGATTAGAACTGGTGCCTGTATGGGACCCTAGCATGTGCAAGGAAAGGGCTTTAATCACTACCACACCAGGCCCAATGCCTAGGTCTTGACTCTAGTTGGCTACCTGCTATTGTGGACCTTGGGAGTAGTAGCTATGGCCCAAGGGATTGGGCTCCTGACGTCATATGGGGGACCAGAATTGGGTTTCCTGCTCCTGAATTCATCCATCAGAGAACATCTGTCTCTGCCTTTCATGAAAATACATCAATATATCATTTATTTTTAGTTGCTCAATGTGCTGATTTTTTTGTCATTCCCTAAACATTGCAGCATAATAACTGTTTAATAAATAATAAATATTTCCATTCTCTTAATATTATAAGTATTCATTTTAAACTATACAGGATATGCATAGGATACATACAGATACAACATTTAAAGCATATTTAAGTTTATTCAAGAGCCACAGTGCTCACATCTACTAATCTAAACTTCCCAGATGTCCACATCTGGTGGCTGGGCTCAAGCCAGAAACTGAAAAGCTCAGTCCAGCTCTTGCACCTAAGTGTCAGGTACCCAGCCATTGAGCCATCACCTGCTGCCTCCTAGTCCATGCATTAGCAGGAAGCTGGAATGAGGAGCTGGGTCTGGTGTTGGGCCCAGGCTCTCCCATATGGGATGTAGGCATCCTGACTAGTCTAGTGTCTTAACCACTAGGCCAAATGCCTGTCTGTACCCCATGTTATGGAAGAGTCTTGAGTGTCTGTGGGTTTTGGTTTCCATGAAGTCCCGAAACCAATTGCTCATGTGATAGATAGTAGGAAACTATTGTATGTGAATTCATGGTTGAATTTTTACATAGCCAAAGTTTCTCCGAAGTAGTACAGTTTGAATATGTGAAATCCTACCCTATTTGTAAAAGTTAAATCAAGTTTCACAGATCTGATGTATTTATATTTTGAATATAATGCTTTTTCTCAGTTTGTGGATTTTTGAAGAAGTATAAATGTTATTGCCACTTTTGCCAAAAGATATGAAATTGTCCATAAAAAGGTCAATCCCAAGTCAATTTTCCACTATTAAAATGTAAACTTCCTCTTTTCCTATCTTGTGATTAGCATCTGTGTAGAAAATGCTAGATGGTTTTATATCAAAGTATGGCATCCTCATCCAAATAGAAATTATAAAAGTTTCTTTGGACTCCATTCTAAGGTTTTTGTTTTTTTCTTTGTTTTTTGTTTTCTTTTTCATATTGGACTGAAATCTGCCACCCTGTAACTTGCATCTATTGGTTCTAGTTCTGTTCTCTGGAGCAGCATGGCGTAAGTGTCTTCTTGTAGAAGGCAGCTATCACCTTCTCTACACTGATTTCCTAAAATCCTCCACTTTTCATATGAAATGAAATGCATATCCATAAGCTTTTAATTGATTATGTTCATATTCTAGTTGATCGGTGTTTTCTGAAATACAGTTAAAATATGGTGTCCCATGTTTTATTTCTACACTGTACACAAGTACACAGTATTCTGTACTTTAACTCCATAGATCAGGTGCTCTAGTTTCTTAGTACCACTTCAGCTTACCAGTTTTTAAATTTATTTTTCACTAGCTATTCTTAATTGCTATTTCATGTTAAAACATTTAATCAGCTGAAGGCCACTGGCTAAGTAACTTTCTTTGTTTTGGTGGGCATATTTGCCTAGATAAAACAGCCTTAACAGGTGAAATTTTGAGGATATAATTAAGAAACTTCAATAGTAAATACATTTTCAAAACCCCATAATAATATCTGTGGGCCTTTGGTTTTATGTTACTTATGCCCTCAATTTAGAAGTTAAAAAAAGAAACTCTTAAGAGCTTTAGTAGGAAGTTCATTTGATAATGGTTTTTGGAGTTTGCTTGTTAAGGCTAAAATGTTTATGGTTGCAAAATATTTGACTTAGATTTCTTTACAATATGTGCTGTTATATTTTTAAGAGAAAAATAAGATTATTTAATGAAATGTTGCACCCAAATTGGAAATTATACCTAAAATAAAGATTCCATTGTAGATTTTGTACTCTACAGTAGGACTTTTCAACCACAGCACTATTGGTATATTCGGTAATTCTTGGTTGTTGGGAGTTGTCCTGGCGTTGTACAATGTGTAATAGCATCCCTGGACTCTTCCCATGTGTTGCTAGTGACACATAGCAACTCTGACTCCTCTGCTATATGATCATCAGCATCTTGGACATGGCCAGATGTTCTCTTGTGGGCAGAGTCTCCCCTAGTTGAGAACCACTGCTCTGGAACATCAGAAGTATTTCATAAGTTGGCCAGTTAAAATGTTTTATTCATTTATAGACTATTACATATAATGAATACTCTTTAAAATTCCTATTGATCATTTTTTTTCTTCCTAGTAGTGTTTCTTATCCAGTTTGTCATTCTTGTTATGCGACATGATTTATGATCTGAAGCAATATTTGTGGAATATATAATTTATTGAGATTGAGGGATGAAAATTAAATAATAGGAACAACCACAGTATGCAGTAGGAGGTTTGAGTTCAAATTTGTGGCCTTTGGTAGCCCTTGATTAAATGATTTGAAAACGTGATTTTTATTAAGTTAATTAGCTCTTAGATTTTAAAATTAAATTGTTATATTTATTCTTCTACTTTACAATATAGCCAACAACCGGCTTCGGGTGTAGCCTATTCTCATCCAACTACAGTTGCTAGCTACACTGTCCATCAGGCTCCAGTAGCTGCTCACACAGTTACTGCTGCCTATGCACCAGCAGCCGCTACAGTTGCAGTTGCCAGGCCTGCTCCGGTAGCTGTTGCAGCTGCTGCCACAGCTGCTGCCTATGGAGGCTACCCCACTGCACACACAGCAACTGACTATGGCTACACCCAGAGGCAACAAGAAGCACCACCACCTCCTCCCCCAGCTACTACACAGAACTACCAGGTAAGAAAAGTAGTCTCAGTGGGCAAATGCATTGTCCAAACCAAAGGTTCTCAAAATATTCTAATGACAGAGAAAAGTGAATGGATATTCCTAAGTAGTTTGGAAACATAACATTAAATTCCTTTGTATTTTTGTGTTAATCCTGCCTCACCTGCCTTCCCCCCAGTTCATTTCTCTGTATTATATAGAATACATATTTTTAAAATTTTACCTTGGGTTTTTGAAAGAAAAAATGTAAAAGAGGCCTGTTCTTTAAATTATGGCAGTTACTTATTAAACTGTTTGAAAGGCATTATGACAGAATGGGGGCAGGGTGAGAGATTTTGCCCTCCATCTCCTGGTTCACTTGCCCATGGCTACAGTGGGAGCCACTTGTCTGGGCCAGAGCCTGTGATCCCATCTGTCATTCTGTACTTGGCCTGTCTTCTGCTGCCTTCCCAGACGCGTTAGCAGGAAGCAGGATTAGAAGCAGAGCAGTTCAGACTTGATTTGGTGCTGCAGTAAAGCATGTTGTCACACGCAGCTACTGACCCGCTGTGCCCCGTACTTGGAATCTTTCAGCTAAAACAAATACTTAAGATTTTTTTCTTTTTAGTGTACCACAACTGCAATCATATTCTTATCCATCCAAGCACTTTCCCTCTAACAGGATAGTTAAATCATGTTTATCTTATTATGGATGAAAACATTACTAAAACAGTTATTCGTGTTAATTTGGTCCTCATTTTTTGAACACATTGTTTGGGATATGTGTTTAAGATTTTGGCCTTCTGGAATTTTTTTTAATCATTTTTAAAGTGGTAAGATTTTATTGAAGTAGAAATTGATAAAATAATATAAATCCACAGTTGCTTTCAGTGTGTTTATGTTTCAATATGCTAACTGACAATATAATAAATTCTTCTAAGATTTATTTGTTTGAGGGCCTGGCACAATGGCTTGATTGGCTAATCCTTCCCTTTCAAGCGTTGGGATCCCATATGGGTACTGGTTCATGTCCCTGCTGCGCCACTTCTTGCGTATGGACTGGGAAGCAATGGAGGATGGCCGAAATCCTTGGGACCTTGCATCTGCGTGGGAGTCCTGGAAGAGACTCCTGGTCATCTCAGTTCTGCCCAATGAAGCCAATAGGGAAGATGAACTAGATCTTTCTCTCTGTAAATCTGCCTTTCCAATAAGGATAAATAAATCTTTTAAACAACAACAAAACAAAATTTGTTTGAAAGGCAGAACAACAGAGAGAGAAGAAGGGACTGAAATCTTACATCCACTGAATTTCTCAATTGGCTACAACAGTCAGTTTGACCCAGGCCAAAACCTGGAGCCAGGAATGCCATCCTGGTCTTCCACATGATGGCAGAGGTCTTGTAAGCATCTGAGTCAGCGTCTGCTGCCTTCTCAGGAACATTAACGGGAAGGTGACTTGGAACACGAGCAGCTGGGACTGAAACCAGCATTTCAGTTGGAAGCAAGGAGCAAGCAGCCTTTCCCAGGTCTCTTACGGGGTGCAGGGTCCCAAGGCTCTGGCCATCCTCTACTGCCTTCCAAGGGCATAAGCACAGAGCTGGGTCGGAAGTGAAGTAGTCAGGTCATGGATCCGGGACCCAACGGAGGATCAGCCAGTTGAGCCGTCGTGGAGTACTCCATTTGATTCTTTTATGTCTGGGTCTGCTGTGAAATTACAGTTGAGTTTGCTTTCCTTTGTTAAACCTTTACATAGTAAAAAGTTCATGACAAATTTTCTTTAATTCTTTGTCTTTAGGACTCTTATTCATATGTAAGATCCACAGCTCCTGCTGTAGCCTATGATAGTAAGCAGTACTACCAACAACCAACAGCCACTGCTGCTGCTGTAGCTGCCGCTGCCCAGCCTCAACCTTCTGTTGCTGAAACCTACTATCAGACAGGTGGGCTTTATTGTCAATTGTTGAAGTGTTGATTCAGGGTACTTTTTTAAAGTGAAGATAAAATTTTGAGTCATGGGGAGAAGGCCATGGAGGTAGTTGTGCTCTTCCTGAAGTGCTGCATACAGTTCCCTTCCTGTAGAAATAAGCCATGCAAAAGAAGCTGTGCTGATTCTTATTTTTGCCAGAAAGCCCCAGAATACTTTGAAGTGCAATGAAGACTTCTATTTATAAAAAAGGAACAAATGTAATGTATTTCATATAAACAATTTTATGATACTTGCTACTCTATCATTTACTACTGCCACCCTACTTCCTTTTCTTATTTTTTTTTAAACTTAAAAAAAAATGTATTATTTGAAAATGAGAGAAAGAGAGACAGATTATCATATGTTGGATCACTCCTGCAGTTGGCTGCAGTGGCCAGGGCTGGGTCAAGCCAAAGCAGGAGCCAGGAGCTTCATTGGGGTCCCTGGGTAGCAGGGACCTGAGCTCCTGTGCTCGCTCCTGCTGCTTTCCCAGGTGTATTAGCAATGAGCTAGATCGGAAGTAGGGCAGCCAGGACAGCAGTTAGCTGTATCTTCATAGGCAGCCGCTCAGCCCACTGCAACACAGTGCAAGGCCCTAAAGGGAACTCAGATTTTTATCTTGCGTTGATCTGTAAGGACTTGGTTCTGTTACTAGCCACCAGCAATATTAAATGTAACGTATGTAATGGCTCAGTGAAGGTAATGTTTTGTTTGAAAACAGGACTGCATATTTGCAGAATTTAAAGATGCCTTTTGCCTATAGATTTACTTTTGAAATGAAACTCAGCAGGGTCTGAAAACGTAGCAGCTCCTTCAGTTATTTTGGAAGGACCTGAATGTGTGGAAGAAGCCTTGAATTAAGAGAGATGTCCCTTACAAGTTATTTGAGTCCTCTTTTAGTTACTAAGTATAGTTTGTACTTGAGAATGCTGGACTGTCCCAGTCAAAAGATCTTGATTAGTCTTATCTTGACATTGTTCATGTGCCTTCTTGACACCATTTAGATTTTGGATATTGGGTTCCTCTCTGTTATGTGAATGAGATTTCATAAATATGCAGGTATATAAATGAGAAGGTCTTTTGAACTGACCATAAAATGGGTTTGGCTCTGATATTCAAACCTTTCCCAGAATTATTTGTATGCTTTAGTGATCATTAGTAGGTGATTAATTATGATTGGTGATGAAGTGTGTTAAGATTTTTTTGGCGTATGCATTTGTTTTAAATATGGCCAAGACTATGTATACTAAACTATTGACTATTGATAAAAGTCAGTAGCATTTTGTGAATTAGTTAGGTTGAAATTCACTACGGATAAATTAGTAAAATGCAGTGACTGATGTATGAACTAGTTCCATGTTGCTAAACATTGGAATTTTTAATGTGAATTGGCATACACGCTCTGAGGCTTTTTCCTGTTCCCAGCAGTGACCACACTTGATGTAGACCTGTTAGTGTAAATTCATACATATACACATACCCCTTTCCTGAAAGTTTTGTTATTTCTACCCATTGTCAATAGTTTCAGTTAGCTATAATAATGATTTTGGAATACATAGAAAGCATTTGAGAAAATGGTCAATTAATTTAGCATTTATATTGATGGTAAGAGTTTTTCCCTAAGCATAAATTGCTGGCATAAAATATAGTTGCCTGATTTTCTTAGCTTTTAGGACTCTTGTTGCAGTACCCACAGTGACTGCAGTAATTACAACACTGGTTTTCTGACTTCTTTTTCTTACTTTAGCCCCCAAAGCAGGTTATAGCCAAGGTGCAACTCAGTATACTCAAGCCCAGCAAACTCGACAGGTGACAGCCATAAAGCCAGCCACACCAAGTCCAGCTACCACTACTTTCTCCATTTATCCTGTGTCCTCCACCGTACAGCCAGTAGCAGCTGCAGCCACTGTGGTGCCATCCTATACCCAGAGTGCTACTTACAGTACCACAGCAGTTACTTATTCTGGTAAGACGAATAAACTGTGTTTAAATGAGTAAGCATATTTCAGAGAGACTTACTAAAACTTTCCTTGGTTCTCTGTGGCATAACCTCATCCCCCTAAAAAGAATTGACTGTAAGCATTAATGTAAATGTTTTGTACATAATATGACAAATAGACCATAATGTAAGTTGTGTGTTTGTTTTGTTTAAACGAAGATCTTAGCAGAATATAAAATGCTGTTTGGGGATTTTCCAAGTATTTTATTTCTGACTTTTCAAAATGAATTTTAAAATTCATGGTTAACAGGGATAGTTAAATTATATATATTATTTATTTTTACTCTTAATGAACTCTCCATATATTATCATTAATAAACAGTCTGGGAAATACTAAATAGCCTTTGTAAACAACCATAAGATGGTGGTTATGCCATACCTTTTGGAAGGACAGAGTGGCTTTATTTTCATTAAATGATCTCTAATTTCCGTATTGAAGTATGATCACTGAGACATTACTTTATCCACTTATTATGCCAGGGTCTAATTGTGATAGCTTGCAATATTGTGGTGTGTTGCTTTTTTTTGTAGACAGTTTCCGAAATGATATGTGATTTGTTACTGATTTGCACTTTCTTTATTCTTTAATGTATGTCTTAAAAATCAAAGGCTTTTAAGATTGACATAGGTCATTTACTTTCTATCACTTGCTATGTTATACTGGCTTGGATATTAGAAGCCTCGCTCCTGAATTTTGTAAGTATGTTACCTGTGTTGAGTATGTGAAACTCAAAGGAGGAGGATAATGTGTCTGAGAACTGCCTGAGCTGTGAAATGACAGCGTGCTGATCAGAGGGAATTAGAGAGATGTTTCTAACTTCAGGAGAAAGAGTAGAGGCAGTGCTGACAGTCATTAAGAAGTAAATCTTGTGAAGATATAGAAAAATGATTAAGACAGATTTTTGAACTTCAAAAATACCAATGCTAAAGTGGAAGTGGATTATTTTTTCCAACCTTTCATTTTGGAAATTTAAAATTCTGTGAAAGAATTGGAGAAATAGTACAGGGAAACACTCATATACTATGACCCAAATTAACCAATGAATTATTTGTCGTATTTGCTCTATATCCTGTTTAGATGAATTTGTATACTCACCATGGTATATTCATAAGTTGTAGCCATTATATATAACCCTGAATTCTTCAAACTGCTTTTTCTAACAATGATAATATTCTGAGTCACATTACTAATATTATAAAGTAGAATTGAGCATAGATAATATCTAATACATAATTTTCCCTGGTTCACAAATGTCTTTTATGGCTTGACAGTATATATTTGATATGTTTGTGCTCTTATTTTTCTTTATGTTTTTCTTTTAATCTGTTTATTTGATTGTCTGGGAGTGGAATTGGCACTGTGGTACAGAATACAGATATTGCAAGCCTTTTTTTTTAACCTATACCGCCCACACCCTCTTCAAATTATATTTTGGTATTGGTATTTTTGAAGTTCAAAAATCTGTCTTGGAGGATATTTCATCCTCTGAAATCTGATAATTTCTTTGTGTTTTGCTCCAGGAAGATTTTAGGTATGAAAACCCCTTGAGTAAGTTTTCCATGTCATCATGTCAGATTATATAATTAATAATGTCAGTCTGTTTCTTACTGACAGCGGGTCTGGTAGTTAAAGTGTTACCTAGTAGATGTCTCCTGCGTTGTAAAGTTTTCTTTCCCTTCGTAACTTACAGATAATCTATAGGCTTACTGCTCTTTCACACTTTCCACTGGTGTGTGAGGTCCTCTGAGTATCTCTGCCTGAATCAGTTTCAATGGAACTTGCTGGATGTTTTTTACATTGAGTTTTAAGCATTCGTCTTTAAAGAAGAGTTCTGATATTTTTCTCCTGCCCAAGCCTTTTTTGTTTTAATATAAAGAAAATATATCTCTGTTTCTTTTCTGGTATTATTGTGACCTCTTTTTCTTTTTTCTTTAATTTTGATCAGTATATTTATTTGATACATTCTAATGTATTTTATTTTTTAATGTTTACATAATTGAAAGGATGCACTAGTTAGGGAGAGGAAGGTCAAAGTGTGGAGGAAGATGGGTAGGACAAATATTTCAGTTCTTTTTATTTCTCCTGTGTCCGTAGGGGAATAAGAGCAGGGGGTCAAGCCTTCCTGTGATTGGGTACACCTTAGAGACTCTGATGTGTGGAAGAGTGTTCTAAGTGTGTTCCATGAGTGGTTTTGAAAGTGTTGAGAGGTTGTGAGTTTCATAGGGTTAAAAAAATCTTCCAAGCTTTGTTGGCTGACCATTCCACCTTAATACCTTCACAGACTCAGACACTTGTCGAAGAGGTTGGCCAGGAGAGTAATCTAACGTATTCTGCTTTTCCATCCTCTGACAAGGCACTGCTGGCCTAGATCATTGGCCATCATGTCTCCTTCGTGTGTCTGGGCATGCTGTCCATTGCACAGGCATTAGCAATAAAGGAGTCCTAGTCTTTGGGGTGTTTTTTGTACTGAAATCTATACTGAACATATTTTTGTCTAGAAATGTAAAAGCATTTGAGATGTGAGTTTAGTTAGGTTCTTTAAAAACATTTTTTAAGATAGATTTTTATTTGAAAGAGACAGAGAAAACAGAAATATTCTCCATCCTCTGGTTCACTTCCCAAGTGGCCACAGAAGCCAGAGCTGAGCTGATCTGTAGCCAGGAGTCTCTTCTAGGTCTCCCATATGGGTGCAGGGTCCCAAGGCTTTGGGCCATCCTCTACTTCTTTCACAGGCCACAAACAGGGAACTGGAAGGGGAAGTAGAGCAGCCAGGACATGAACTGGCGCCCATAAAGGATCCCAACACATGCAAGGTGACAGCTTTAGCTGTTGGGCCGCTTCCCACGCCCCTGTTACCGTACTTTCAATCTGAAAAGTTTAGTGTTTGTATGTCATGACAGCTTAAAATGAAAGCCTAGGAAGAATTTCCCTAAAAGTTTCCTGGCTCCTTTCTCTTCTGGATATGACCAGTTTTAGATTCTCATGATTTTCAGGGCAGGCTTGCAGCACAGTGCTCCAGCTGCAGCGTGATAACCACATCTCACATCTTGTGCCTGATTCAAGTCCTGGCTGCTCTACTTCAAATCTGGCTTCCTATTAATATGTACCCTGGAAGGCAACAGATGATAGCTCAGATTCCTGTCACCCAATGGAGAATCCCACATTCAGTTCCAGGGTTTGTCATGACATGGTCTAGCCCAGCCAAGCTGTTGTGATTATTTGGGAAATGATCCAGTCGATATAAAGTTGTTCTGTGCCTTTTCAAATTAAAAGAGAAGAAACCCCATGATTTCTGATTGCCTATACATCCTTTTTTTTTTTTTTAAGATTTTATTTTATTTAGTTGAAAGGCAGTTACTGGTTGAGAGAGGGAGAAAGGTCTACCATCTGCTGGTCATTGCCCAAATGACCACAATAGTCTGGCCTCACCAGGAGATTCTGTGGGTTCAGGGGCCCATGCCTTTGGGCCTCTGCTGCTTTCCCAGGTACTTACTTTATCAGGTGTAGTTGAATCAGAAGTGGAGCAGCCAGGACTCAAACTAATGCCCATGTGGGATACTGGCACTGAAAGCTCGACCAACTACGGCACAGCATTGGCCCATTGCCTGTGCGTCTTAGCTCTGTCATCACATCCTGTTTTTCTCATATGTATAGGTAATACTGAGTCACAGGTCTTTTTTTTGATATGGCATATATTTAAGAGACTAAAAAGTTCAGATCCCCTTAAATAATTCTTCTGTGACATTATACCAACTTGCAAGCTTGAGATCATCATGGTAAAAAAATGGTAAGTTTGCCACTTTGCAAGTAGATCTTGTCAAAATTTTTTTTATGGTTTTACAAACCTGTAAATCATTGAGAATGAACCTGTATATCATCAGTAATTGGTGTAATGTGATTAGTTGGTGGAGGCTTTGACCAGTAGAAATATAATCGACATATTTAACCAGAAAACACACTGCTTTTTCCTCTTCCAGAAGGTGGTCATTAAGATTGATCCCTCATTCTACACTCTTTATTCTTGTCATATTTTCGTGTGAACTCCAGCCACATTTCATAAGCTGCTGTTTTTTATTTAATTTGCCTCCCCAAACCAACTTTTAATAATTGCTTGATTTTACCAGTTGCAAAACTCATCAATCAGTAGGCTCAAAATTTTAGTGTCATCTTGTAGGTTTTCCTTATTATAAAAATTTTTTTTAAATTTTTATTTGAAAGGCAGGTTTTACAGAAGGAAAAGGAGAGATGGAGAAGGTCTTCCGTCTGCTGTTGCACTCTCCAAGTGGCCTCAACAGACAGAGCTGAGTCAGTCTGAAGCCAAGAGCTTCTTTTAGATTTGCCACATGGGTTCAGGGGACCAAGGACTCCGGACATCTGCTGCTGCTTTCCCAGGTTATAAGCAGTGAGCTGAATCAAGTGGAGCAGCCTGAACTTGAACCAGCACCAATAAGGGTTCAGGTGCCACAGGGTGGAGGATTAGCATGCTATGCCACCCAGATTTTTTTTTTTCTTATCTACAAATCATGCCAAAACTTATTTTGTGAAGCATTTTTGTTTGTTTTCATGTCTGGTATCTCTCTTCAAATCTTCCTCAAATCCAACACTTAAATTTTTGTTTGGGAAAATAGTAACTTTTTTAACCTCCTAAGGTGGTCAAGCCATTTTATTCCATCGCTGCTATTGAACTGTAGGTTTCTTGAAGATAGGGACCAAATCTTATACTTTCTTTATACCTCTATAATACCTAACATGCATTGACTCAGTACTTACTGAATGGCATATATAGGAAGAACACATTTTCTGGTTTCTGTTAGATGATTTCTAAATATGTAAATGTAAACTATCTCACAGGTAGGACTTACTGAATTAAATGTGTAAATTAAGTTTACCTTGCCCTTCTATACTTACGTAACTTGCTTTCTGTTTGGTTTTGTTTGGAAGGTACATCTTACTCGGGGTACGAAGCAGCAGTGTATTCCGCTGCATCCTCCTACTACCAACAGCAGCAGCAGCAACAGAAGCAGGCGGCGGCGGCAGCTGCTGCTGCTGCTGCAACAGCTGCCTGGACAGGGACCACGTTTACTAAAAAAACACCATTCCAAAATAAACAACTGAAACCAAAACAGCCTCCGAAACCACCCCAGATTCATTATTGTGATGTTTGTAAGATCAGCTGTGCTGGACCACAGGTACTCCTTTCCCATATTTTATAATGTAGTCTCAGTGATTGGTACTTCTTTTGTGTCTGAAAGTTTACATTTTCTTTTTGCTGGTGCATACCAACAGTTATCTGAATCCACAGATTATGTACAGATTTAACCCAATGAAGGATTAAAAATACTTGATAAATGGATGCATTATTATGTGCTGAGCTTTCTCTGATGCTTATTACCGAATAGCACAGTTCAGCAGCTGTAGCCACAAGCAATTACAGTGCCCTGGCTACTAAAGCTGATCTGGGGATGACTTAGCATGCTTTTAAGAATGTGGGCAGGTGATTTGAAGTTACTGTGCCATTTTGCATAAGGGACTTGAACATATGCAGATTTTTGCAACCAATACGTTATAGAAACCATTGGAGAAGTCTAGTTCACTAGACAGTGATTTTTTATTTAAAGATTTATTTATTTTTATTGGAAAGGCGGGTATTCAGAGAGGATGATTTTCTGTCCCATGATTCACTCCCCAAGCAGCCGCAATGGCTAGAGCTGAGCCAATCTAAAGCCAGGAGCCAGGAGCGTCTTCCAGGTCTCTTACATGGGTGCAGGGTCCCAAAGCTTTGGGCCATTCTCGACTGCTTTTCCAGGACACAGGCAGGGAGCTGGATGGAAAGTAGAACAGAGGGGACACAAACCGGAATCCATATGTATCCTGGCACATGCAAGGCGAGGACTTTGGCCACTAGGCTATCATGGTGTCCCCATTTTTAAGTCCTGTTTTTTTTTTGAGACATAAAGATTGTAATTGTATTTAAAATACTTGTGAATATGAATTAAAAATGAGCAAACTGAGCTTTTCAAAAGGAAGGCTAGTTTGTTCTTAAAGTTTTATGTTTGAATTAATTGGGCTTTGGAGGTAAAAATAAATTTTTGTAGCTTTCTTTAGCATTCATAACTTACTGTGTAAAACCCTTTACAGAATTCTTACTTAGTTACTAATAATATATCATTTTCAAGATTCACTAAAGATGTAAAGGACTTCTTCAAATATGTCAACCATTCTTGCTTTGGCAGCACATATACTAAAATTGGACGATACGGAGAAGATTAGCATGGCCCCTGCGCAAGGATGACACAAAAATGTCAACCAATGAAGCATACTAATAACCTTGATTTTTCTGGCTTAGTTTTTGTATCTGTAAAAGCTTGTTGATTCAAGTCTCTTATCAAGCTTTTTTTTACTCTGAATTGAGAATTTAGTTTGCAGCTTGGAAGATAAAAGGCCTAACATTCGACAAAATCAAGTGTGGATTTTACTGTTGGTTTCTTTGAATTCTATCCATCTCCCACCTCTGAGCTACCTATGTGTATTTGTGATTTACTGCATGACTTTTATTTTTAGTACTAAATTTGAGATATATTTGCAATGTCTGACATTCCTTGAATTAACACCAATTTAGGGAACATTAAATATATGTAGGTAGATACATAAAACCTCCCTGTTTGAATATGAGGAGAAATGGTTTTATTGTGATTGCCTGACTGGCAAGGGCAAATTGAGGATGTTTGTAGGGATGCAGAGTAAACATGAAAGGGAATAAGGTAGCATCTGAGGGGAGTTTGTTGTGCTCTGACTTTTGAGAGAATGATGTCATGATTGGCAGCAGATAAGAAATGTGTTGGCTGTGTTCGCTGTGAAGGGTGAGTCTTGGTTTGGACATAAGGAGGTAGACCGAGTCCGTTCAGTTTAGGGGCCACAGCTGCAGTTATCTGGGTCAGTAAGTGTGCAGCAATGGAGAAGTTGAACCCCTCACTTTGTAACAAGGACTTGTCCCAAATAAATGACTCAAGTTGCTTTGTGGAGCCACATCAGACTACTCTAGATAAGAGAATCAAATGTCTGGGTGTTAAGTTTCTTGTTTTTCTTTCAAAACAAAACAAAACAGGAACGCTCCATAGTTTTACATAAGATTTCATTTGCTAGAAAGGGTTCTCTTACTTAAAAATTAGAATAATCTCTGAGGTGTATCATCTAGCTCTGAAATTCTGTCATGAACGTAAGCTTTTGCTAATCATTTTGTCTTAAACATTTTTAAAATAAATTATAAAATAGGATTTAGCTCCACTCAAAACACAAACTGACCTGCTATTTCTAATTCACTTCCTTCATCAGTAATCTATATTTAAGATAATTTTTAATATATAACCACACTGCTTTGTTGGTTATAATCACCCTAATATTGTTTTTCTTACAAATATATTAAGTTTGAACAAGCTTTTAAAACTGAAAGCAGTTGCCTAATATTATGATTGTGAATAAGATGATGATTGTGGAGCCCGAAGTGTTTTCTTGATATGGAGGATAAATCACCTCTGAAGGCAATCCCACATGCTCTTACTCAGCTATTTAAAAAATTTGTTTAGTTCTCATTATTAATTGAATGTGGGAAATTTTTTAATAATATAGAAAGAAAATTGATGTAGCAAAATGTATCCTTTTTGTCTGAAACAGACTTACAAAGAACATTTAGAAGGACAGAAGCATAAAAAAAAAGAAGCTGCCTTGAAAGCCTCACAAAATACCAGCAGCAGCAACAGCTCTACTCGGGGGACTCAGAATCAGCTACGTTGTGAGCTCTGCGACGTGTCCTGTACGGGAGCAGATGCGTATGCTGCCCACATCCGTGGTGCCAAGCATCAGAAAGTAGGTGGTGGTTTTCCCCCACACAACCTTATGTCATGCTCTTTTTTTTTTTTTTTTTTTTTTTACTTTTTCAGTGGGGATTTAAGTGAAAGTGATTTCAAATTTTGAAAACTTTGAGTACCTTTTAAGCCTTACATGCTTATATATATGTAATACTTCAGAAAGTTCATGGAAAACAAAATGTATTAGGCAATGTTGTTTTGGTGCAAAATTTTTGAAATTCATGCATACCCAATGTCCTCAAAAAGTTTGTGAGTAATACATATTATGAAAAAAATTGCATAGATGTCAAAATTTTTCAAAACTAACATTTTAATTCTATTTTTCATGAACCTTTTTAAGTGCCCTCTTATGTAAAATGACATCAGTTACTGCTTAAAAGGGGGGACGCTACAGATCTTTGTTTCTTAAATTGAACTATATCACATATTCATTAATTGGAAGTTATGTTATTCTTTCTCTCTTTTTTTTTTTGCTTCATTATAGATTGGTTTGCGTGTGACCAAGACATTTTCTTTCTTTCCCTGTTTCCTCACCTGTAGCAGATGGAGTCTGTTTTGTGCTTCACAGAGATTATCTTTAAGTAATGAGTTTTGTTTCTAAAACATAGAAAACATTTAGCAGAAAATTATTTAGAATTTCATTTTATGTCCTTCAGACAAACTTAAAAAAATCTCTAGTCTGGGTTTCCTAATAAATTGCTTTTGCTTTGTAGGTGGTTAAATTACATACAAAGCTTGGTAAGCCAATTCCATCAACAGAACCAAATGTGGTTAGCCAAGCTACTTCTTCAACAGCGATATCTGCTTCAAAACCAACTGCCTCTCCCTCAAGCATTGCAGCAAACAATTGTACTGTGAATACTTCATCAGTTGCAACCTCTTCAGGAAAAGGTCTTCCCACTACAGGAAACACATCTCTTAACAGCACCTCTGGCAGTAAAGTATCAGCAGTGCCTACAAATATGGCTGCCAAGAAGACATCTACACCCAAAATAAACTTTGTTGGCAAGTACTGAAGATTCTCTGTGTTCCTCCTGACTCTTTAGGTTGAAATTTTCTTCTGTTGAACTTATAATCCTTTTTTTTTGCCTGTGCTATTGAATGTGTCTTGTCTCTGTGTATGTGGTTGCTTTTTTAAAGTCATCTGCTTCGTTTTAGTAGTCATTCACCACACACAGACCTTTTCTATAATCTCAAGCTGTTAACCTCACTTTTTCTTGTTATATACTTTCTGTCCAAGCCTTAGTCTGTTTCCACTTTACCCACTGTCTGAAACTTCTTTAGGAGTTACCAGAGCCCTAATGGCCACACCTCATGGCCAATTTTCAGTTTCATCCTATTGGCCCCCTAATGTTAGAAAACTTGACTGCTGTGTCTGAAGAAATAAGATACTGTTTTATGCCCGGGTTGTGGGTTCACCCACAGCTTGCTCAGTGTTGTTACTTGTTCCCTTGCCTGCGTGTTTCTTATATTGTTGGGTTCTCAAGATTCTGCCCTGGCTGTGTGTACCTCACTGCTTTCTGGGTGGTTTCAACCATTTTGGTGTATGGAATGAATTAAAAGTTTTCTTTTTGCCTCCAGCTGTCCTTTCCTCATCTGCTCCTCCTTGTCCTTTCTGTTTATATTTCTACAGAAAAAATCTAATCTTTGTTGCCATTTGTTTGTTCTTTCTGGTTCTCCCTTGGAACCTTGTCTCGTACTGAGTACTGCGTTCAGTCTCTCATCCACACTGTCTTTAGTTGTTTTAGGGCTGTGTGTGTAGACAAATACATATCATATATATATATATATATAGTGTGTTATGTATGTAACATTTCCTTAGTCTTCTGCTTAAAAATTTTCAGGAGCCTTCCCTTTGCATAGAGGTCAAACACTCTAGTCCTTAATTATGTTATATAAGCAATTCATAATCTGACCCTTGCTTCCTTTCTGGCTTCATTTCTATACACCACTGCCTAGTCAGTAACTAGCACTGAATTATTGGCTCTTTTTTGACTTTATTATGTCTTTGTAACTGCATTGTGCTTTTCTAAATATGTTATTCCTTTCTTCCTGCCCAGATCGTACTCATCTTTTAAAGCCCAGGTATATGTCATAACCCTTGGGACGCTTTTCCCAAGCAGATCAGTTTGAAAGGGTAGTGGCTTCTTGCCTCTCAGACCCACACTGTGTACTTCATTCTGATTACAGAGTACTTACCACCTTGGGCCATGATTGCTGGTGAATTTTCATTCCACTCACAGGTTTTCAAGGGCAGCTATATATGTATATTTGTAAATGTTTTCCCTCCTTTATATAGGTTGTTCTTTAATTTTACTACGGTTTGTTTATTTTTAACGTTATTTGAGTAGTTGGGAAGAATGTATGCCATAGTGAGCCACTGATTAGGGTGGGGGGAGCCAAGGTGTAGAGGATGGTGCGTGGGATAAATGTTTCCATTTTTTTCTTTATCTCCCGAATCTGCAGCGGGGGAACTGTTCGTTACTGAAGAGTAACTCTGTTCTTACTATATTGCCAGCATGTTGTAGATACTTAAGTGTGTTTTTAAAAAGAATATTAAAAAAAATCATAATCATATCAAACTCTTAGGGTATTGTGTTTCATTAGTGATTAAAATGAAAATATGATTTGTAGTTCCTTCAGGTTTAGAAGTTATTCCTATTTTCAGTTTAGAGTGACGACATTTTTGGTAAATAAGTCTTGGAGAAAGTTTTTATCAGATTTCGTAGAAAGTGGATTGTTGGAAATAAACAGTAATAAATCCTAAAGGGTTCCATTTCTTTCCTTAGTTGGAAATTTTATTAAACTGAATTTTCATTGAAAACTCATGGAAATATCTTTTAAGGATTACATAGTATTTATTTAGAAGGTCAGTTGATTGGCAGACTAAGTGAATGAGTTAGGCTTAGTCCCCGTTTCTTTCAAGTATTTGCTGTTCACTTTTAGATAGTTGATGTAATAAAAATAAAGGAGATAAGTGGGCAGAAGTGTTGGGAGGTGAAGAAGGGAGACTCCTGCGTCATTATTAAATGAAAAAGATCAAATGTTTAAAAAATAAATATTTTTAAAATAAATACTTTTAAAACATTTGATTTATATAGGTTTTTTTTTAAAGACCTACTTTTTTGAAAAAAAAAAAAAGATTTATTTTTATTACAAAGTCAGATATATTTATTTGGTTTTATTACAAAGTCAGATATATAGAGAGGAAGAAAGATCCAAAGGAAAAACTTCATCCGATGATTCATTCCCCAAGTGACTCCGATGGCCAGGGCTGTGCTGATCCGAAGCCAGGAGCCAGCAACCTCCTCCAGGTCTTCCACATGGGTGCAGGATCCCAAAACATAGAGCTGTGCTCAGCTGCTTTTCCAGGCCACAAGCAGGGAGCTGGATGGGAAGTAGAGGAGCCGGGATTAGAACCGGCTCCCATATGGGACCCTGGCGAGTTCAAGGCGAGGTCTTTAGCCACTTGGCCACTGTGCCGGGCCCCACGATCCATTTAATTTTATTGGAAAGGCGGATATACAGAGAGAGAGACAGAGAGGAAGATCTTCTGTCTGATGGTTCACTCCCCAAGTGACTGCAATGGCTGGAGCTGAGCCAGTCTGAAGCCAGGAGCCAGGACCTCTTCCGGATCTCCCATGCGGGTGCAGGGTCCCAAGGCCTTGGGCCGTCCTCAACTGCTTTCCCAGGCCACATGCAGGGAGCGAAATGGGAAGCAGGGTCGGGATTAGAACTGGCGCCCATATGGGATCCCGGCAAAGACTTTAACCACTATGCTATCATGCCGAGCCCTCAAATAGGTTTTCAAATGTTAGTTAGGAAGACCTTAAACTGAAGTTCTCATTGTCTAGGCTTATGCATTACTATAAAAATAAGATGTAACTAATTCCTTGCTTTTTTAGGTGGTAATAAGCTGCAGTCAACAGGAAACAAAGCAGAAGACTTAAAAGGAACCGAATGTGTTAAAAGTGCTCCTGTCACTTCTGCTGTGCAGATTGCGGAAGTCAAGCCTGATGCGGTGTCAGAGACAGTCACACCTGCGTCTCTTGCAGCGTTGCAGAGTGACGTGCAGCCAGTGGGCCATGATTATGTGGAAGAGGTATTAATTTGAGAGTACAATTGCTGTGAAATTAAGAAAGGGCTCATTTAATGGCAAGCAAGCTCCAAATATAAAGTTATAATAAATTATTTTAGATATAGTTTACTTACAAGAGAATATCAGTTTTGTTTTGTTTTTACTTCTCTAGAGGTTGTTTTAATTTCATTTTTAATATTGTTTGCATAGTTGAGAGAGAGGCACGGCCATGTGAGTCTCTGATTATGGTGGGGAGGGAGGAGGTGTGGAGGAAGGTCACCTGGACGAATGTTTCAAATTTTTTTCTTCAGTGTCTAAATTGCAGGAAGGGGAGAGGACCCCTCCTTCCTGTCAAACTACATCAGCACCCAGGGATGGGGTACAGTTATTTGATGTCGCCTTAGAGACCCCGATGTGGGGAAGAGTGTCCTGATGGTGTTACTTGCGTGGTTTTGATAGATCTGAGTTGTCGTCAGCTTCATTAAACCAGGAAAATCTTTCCAGGGCTGACCAAATCTGCATTAGTGCATGCACAGGCCCAGGAACATGTAACAAAGCTTGGTCAGGAAAGTGATCCAACCTGTTCTGCTTTCCATCTTCTGGACAAGGCACTTGACACACTCTGCTGCCGAGATGAGCTTACTGTCGTGTCCCCAAGTGCTTGTAGGCCTATCCACCACACAGGCATCAGCAGCTGAGGAGGCCCAGTCCTGACACAGGCACTCCAAGTTTGGATCACTATGGCCAGGATCTGAGTCCTGCAGTCTAGTTGGGGAGATCCACCCAAGAAACCTTACCTAGGGTGACCTCAGACTTGACTCTTGTGTGCACCAGCCAGTGCAGGATCGGGTTCAGTCTGTCACCTCCACCAGGTAATGCATGGTGGATGCAGCTGCCTTGTCAGTTTTGCCCTAGCTCCATCTCACACAAACCAACATGTGCTGCAGCCCAACCCAGCCAGCCTGCCACAGATATTGTCCTCATGCATACCAGGGGGTGCCACTGCCCAGTCAGGGCGACCTGAAATAGGCCTCACTCAATCCGTCCTGTCTCCCATATGCCTTTCATACATGCCTGTGGGTGCTATGCCTAGCTCAACTCAACTTGTTGCCAGATATGGCCCACACATATGCTAATGACTGCTGCCATCTTGACTAGCCTGGCCTGCCCCGAGCCCCCATATTTTGTGCTTGCCGAGAGTACTGCGGCCCATGCTGGTATGGCTCGCCCTCAGTCCTAATACTTGCCAGTAAGTGCAGCAGCCGAGCTGAGCCAGGCCCGGCCCACCCCCAAGTTCCACCTCTCATACTCACTGGTGGAAGCAGTAGCTAGTAAGGGAGTCCCTGAAGTTCCCTTACCACGTCCATTCCCAGCCCAGGGTCTTGTGGCCCAGAAGGTGTTGTGGTCCAGTCTCACATGACCCATCCCCAGTCTTGGCATTTGTCAGCAGGTACAGCACCAATGCCTGTGCCACCTCTAGCCCCTGCCCTCATATTCACCAGCAAGAGCTGTATCCTTGCAGGGGAGTTCTCCAAGTTCTCCTACCAGGCTGGATCCCAGTCCCAGATATAATATGTGCCAGTTGGTGCCACAGTCATGCTTGTCATAGTCTGCCCTTAGTCCCAGCCTTTGCTTGTGTCAGCAGGTGCTATAGCCTGGTTCAGCCCATCACCACCCCAGGTCTCCATATAAACTGGAGGGTACCACAGTCCCACAGAGGCAATCCCACGTGTACCCTACAGAATCTGCCCCCCAGATATGGTTCTCTAGCCTTCTGTTGGGTCTGCAGCCTAGCATGATGTAACCTATTCCCTGCCCCTACACTGACAGGTGGGTACTGAGGCCTAGCCAAATAAGGCATGCCCCTAGTCCCAGCTTTTGTCTCTTCCAACAGGTGACAGGCAATGCTATTTAGCCCAGCCCAGGGCTCCCACGTGGGCAAGTGCTTTGGCCTGATCCAGATATGCCCTCCAGCCCTCCCTCCCACACAAGCACTCCGTCTCAGCTCCCTCACCTACATGCAAGTGCAGATCCATGGGAGCCCCTGGGTGTCCCTCGTCCACTGTCAGTCATGCCCTCGGATGTTGCCACTCCGACACATCCTCTGTTCCCCCTCCCTGGACAATTTGTAGCCCTACCCATGGCACCTGCAGTGGTATATCCTGACCAGGCATTCTCTACCTTCACCACGTATCTTTTAAAAAAAAACAGTAATAATAGGTTAGGCAACTATAATGGCACAAATTTGGCATTAATCAGTCCCAGAATGCCCGTCCGCTCTGGCTGCTTTTCTCCCAGCAATGTAGCACCTGCCTGGATACAAGGCAAACTAGGCAGTCGCCTATATCTGGGGAATTTCTTTTTATTATGAAAAAACATAACTGTTTGGAAGATGTGTGTTTTCCTATAATTTTGAGCTTCAAATAAAAATAAACCTTTTTTTTCCTAACAAAAAAGCATGTCTTTCTTTTCTCTGTTACCACTGTCTTGTGCTGTAAACATTTATTTTTCAGGCTTTCTTGTAATATACTTTTCGACTATCATAAATAATAAATTTCAAAGTTGGAAGCAGCAGAAATTTTGATGGAAAGGAATAATATATCCTTTTAAACATCACTTAGTAAAATGAGGGTTGTTAGTTTTTAAGAGGTCATTTTCGTTTCTCAAGTTACTGGAAAAGTTTCTGTTTTTTGAGTATAGTAATAAACTCAGTAAAATTGAAGAATGGGGATATATCGGAAGATTTTATAGATAGTGAAAAGATGATTGTTTTTGGCCAAAGGACTATACAGTGCTACAACACTGCCACTAATCATAAATCATGTATTTGTTTCTGGCCTTTGATGTCCACATCTGTAACATTGGAATACTCCTAAACAAATTTGTGAGGATTAAATGAAATTGTGCAGCATAGTGTCTCACAAATACTGGTTTTTTGCTAGATCCTTGGCCCTGCTTTGTGTACAAGGTAGACCAATTTTAAGCCGTTCGCTGATAGATCTCATAATGTTATATTGGTTATCTGAGCTGTTACTTGTTATTCCAGCGTCGTAAATAGGTGCTTGCCCAAGTGTCAGCTGCTGCAGTCCCAGTGCAGCTCCCTGCCAGAAGCACAACATGGCACAAGTGTTTGGGCTCCTGGCACCCAAGGGTTCTCAGCTAAACCACCCCAATTTCTGGTGATTTTGGTTAATAATCCCAAACTTAATAAGCTGTTACGATTAAACATCGCTGCACTTTGAGCCAATCTTAAAACTTGTGTGTAGAATTTGAACCTGATACTCATTATGGACCCATAAGAACATTTCAGTTTACTTGTCTTCCTGATCATTTAGTAACATTTTGTCTTCGTTTAAAATCTGGAGATTTAGGAGCCTGGTGCGGTAGCCTACTGGCTTAAGTCCTCACCTTGCAGGATACCATATGGGCACCGGTTCTAGTCCCAGCAGTTCTGCTTCCCATCCAGCTCCGTGCTTGTGGCCTGGGAAGGCAGTTGAGGATGACCCAAAGATTTGGGACCTTGCACTCACATGGGAGACCTGGAAGAGGCTCAGGGCTCCTGGCTTCAGATTGGCGCGACTCCAGCTATTGCGTCTGCTTGGGGAGTGAGTCATCGGGTGGAAGTTCTTTCTTTGTCTCTCTTCTCTGTATATATGACTTTCCAATAAAAATAAATAAATTTAGGGAAAAAAATCTGGAAAATTGAGAAATTTATATACTAAAATTAAGCTTTTAATTATGCTTATCTTTGCCTGCAAGAGTACCTAAGCCAAAAGCATCTATTCAGTTAATTATTAGAGAATTTAAAGCATCCAGTACATTTAAAAATTAAATTTAGAAATTAACAACCTAAATGTTTTAGTCAGAACTTTAAAATCAAAGATAATTGACAAAGCAGCTTTGTGCTAGCACATGTTACATGTTAGAAGTACAAATCGCGGGGCTCTGCACGGTAGCCTAGTGGCTAAAGTCCTTGTCTTGCACACTCTGAGATACCAAATCAGCGCCAGTTCGAGTACTGGCTGCCCCACTTCTCATCCAGCTCCCTGCTTGTGGCCTGGGAAAGCAATTGAGGCGGCACAAAGCCTTGGGACCCTGCACCCGCGTGGGAGACCAGGAAAAACTGGTTCCTGGCTTTGGATCAGCTCAGCTCCTGTTGTTGTGGCCATATGGGAAGTGAATCATTGGACGGAAGATCTTTCTCTCTGTCTCTTCTCCACTCCGTATATGTGATTTTCCAATAAAAATAAAATAAATCTATTAAAAAATACAAATTGTGATTTTTAGCCGGACTTTTTTGTCCTTTTAAAACATTTTTTCATTTACTTTTTTTTCTCATTAAGTTTTAATTGGTCCCAGCTTCTTCAAATAATCTGACATCGTTTATGAATTCAACTGTAACATTCATATTAATGATTCTTGATTTTTCTCTCTCCAACAAGGTACGAAATGATGAAGGAAAAGTAATTAGGTTCCATTGTAAATTATGCGAGTGCAGCTTTAATGACCCTAACGCGAAGGAGATGCATTTAAAAGGACGAAGACACAGACTTCAGTATAAAGTAAGAAATATGTTAACCATTATCTTTCCTATTACTGATTTTTCTTGTTAAAGCAATCTCAAAGCAAAACAACATCTGAACACAGCTCCTATCAATGAATTTTTATCTGAAGATGAGCATGCATTTGGTAGATTCAGAAACTTGGTTTTTATATACTTAACATACTCAAGTTTATTACAATTCAGTAAGAACAATACCTGATTTAACATGTTCTTATCAGTTACACTAACTGGGAAAATAAATGAAAATACTACTAAGATGCACACTGGGAGCCAGTGAATAAATGGAGGCTTAAAGTATTCAGGTCCCTGCACACATGCGGGAGAATAATTGCTTTTTCAATCTAAATATTGTTGGGCCCAGCGCTATGACCTAGTGGCTAAATTCTTGCCTTGCACACCTGTGATCCCATATGGGTACTGGTTCATAACCTGGCTGTTCCACTTCCCGACCAGCTCCCTGCCTGTGGCCTGGGAAAGGAGTAGAGGACAGCCCAAAGCCTTGGGACCCTGCTTCCCACGTGAGATTGAGAAGAAGCTCCTGGCTTTACTCTTGGGTTTGGTTTGGCTCAGCACAGGCCATTGCAGCCACTTGGGGAATAAATCAGTGGATGGAAAATCTCTCTCCTCTCTCTGTAAATCTGCTTTTCCAATAAAAAATGAATGAATCTTTATATTTAAATATTTATTAGTTTGGACCATGTACTTGGTCCATACTTTTTTAAAAAATACAGGGACTATGAAAATAAACAGTCAGTTCAGGGACAGTATTTTATATAAAAAGATATTTTGAAGCTAATGTGCTGTAGGGTATCAGCCCCTGCTTGGACTGTTTGCATCCCATGCCAGAGTGCTTGAGTGCCAGTCCCACCTCTGTGTAAAATCCATCTTCTCCTAATGTGCCTGAGTGCCAGCAGATGGTAATTCAAGTACTTGGGGCCCTGCCACCTGCTTGGGAAGTCTGGATGGATCTCCTGTTTCAGGCTGTTCTAGCATTGGTTGTTGTGTGCAGTTCAGAAGCAGGTTGGAAGATCTGTGCATGACTATTTCTCTACCTTTCCAATAAAGTGAATAGCAACACAAGAGTGGTTACTATCAGAACTAATAGTAAATAAGCTTTGTATTTCATCCATACTTGTATGCCATTTCATACTTGGAATAGTTAAGATTTTTATTAATGCATCCTGAATCTTTAAGTATTTTGATTTTTACTGTGTAGGAAATTTGCAAGTAAAAGCCTCAGTAATGGAAAAATATATAGACTTATTTGCTTAGAAATACATGTAAATTGCTGAAAGTGGCTGCTAGTATATTAAATGCTTGTCTTTATTAACAGAAAAAGGTAAATCCAGATTTGCAAGTGGAAGTGAAGCCCAGCATTCGAGCAAGAAAGATTCAAGAAGAGAAAATGAGAAAGCAAATGCAGAAAGAGGAGTATTGGCGAAGAAGAGAAGAGGAGGAACGCTGGAGAATGGAGATGAGGTACGGTATCTTTGATGAGCGTGGTAGGAAGTGGTTTAGCCTTTTGAGCTGTTGTGGGTAAGTGATTCTTATTCAGGAAAATCCAGATTGATTTATTGTACTCTCAGTGCTTTTACGTTCCTATAAGATTCTAAGTGCTGGAAAACATGCAATAAAACTAAATGATTGGCTATTCTAGTATTCGCTGTGGCCTTGGTGTTAGGAGATGTATAAAATAGATGAAGAAATGGTTTAGTACTATAAATAAATGTCTCAGCTTAAATCAAGCAAAATAGAACATGGTTTTTAGAGAACTCTCTGGAACATTGAGAGTTAATGGTTTGTACACATCACTTTTTTTTAAAAATATTTATTTATTTATTGGGGCCCAGCGCAGTGGCCTAGCTGCTAGAGTCTTCACCTAAAACGCCCCGGAATCCCATATGGGCGCTGGTTCTAATCCCAGCAGTTCCACTTCCCATCCAGCTTCCTGCTTGTGGCCTGGGAAAGCAATCGACAATGGCTCAAAGCCTTGGGATCCTGCACCCGTGTGGGAAACCTGGAGGTAGTTCCTGGCTCCTGGCTTTGGATCGGCACAGCACTGGCTGTTGTACTCACTTGGGGAGTGAATCATCGGAGGGAAGATCTTCCTCTCTGTCTGTTCCTCCTCTCTGTGCATCTGACTTTGTAATAAAGATAAATAAGTTTTAAAAGTCATAGTTATGTATATAGAGAAATCTTCATCTGCTGGTTCACTGAGATGGCCACAGTGGCCAGGGCTGCGGCAACCTGGAGCCAGAAGCCAGGAGTTTCATTGGGGTTTCCCAGGTGGGTACGGGGGCCTGTTGTCTACTGATGTTCCCTGGCCATTACCAGGAAGCTGGATCAGTAGTCTTAACAGCTGTGCCTCTCAGACTGGTGCCCATACAGGATGTAAGCGTGAGTGACTTACAGTGTCTTTACCTGCTCCATCACAGTGCCAGCTCCCAAACTTTTTTTTTTTTAAGATTTATTTTATTGGAAAGTCAGATATACAGAGTAGAGAAGAGAGAGAGAGGAAGAACCCCCTGTTGTTTCACTCCCCAGTGGGCCTCCAGGGCCAGAACTGAGCCAATCAAAGCCAGGAGCCTGGAGCCTCTTCCGGGTCTCCCATGCGGGTACAGGGTCCCAAGGCTTTGTGCAGTCCTCAGCTGCTTTCCCAGGCCACAAGAGGGAGCTGGATGGAAAGCAGGGTTGCTGGGCTTAGAACTGGCGCCCATATGGGATTCCAGCACATGCAAGGCGAGGTCTTTAGCCACTGGGCTACTGCATAGGTCAAACCCCCCCCCTTTGTTTTTCAAGAATTATTTTTTAAAAAGATTTCATTAATAGGAACTTTGAAGGTATGTTGGAGGAGAATCGAGATGGCCCATTCTCTAGACATTTGTTTATATAAATAAAAGTTTTATTGGAGACTTCATCACCCCTAAAGCAAACCACAAACCTGTTAACGTACTTTCTCCATTTGTCCCCTAGCAGCCTCTATCCAACCCCACCCTAAACATTACACCACTTTCTGCCTGTGTCAATTTATCTTTTGTTTATATTTAAATGGTTTGCATAACCAGTCCTTTATTGTTAGATATGTGGATTTTTTTCCCAGTGCTTTCCTATTGCGATTATTGTAACATGGACCCTCATTAAGGCTATGTTATTTTACCTATCATGGTGTGCTAATAGTGAGTTGGAAATGTTTAAAAGGTGTATCTGCTTGTGTTGTGTAGTATCAGTGCTTCTCACACCTATTGATCTAAGGACATGCTTAGTTGTTGTAGGATTCCTAAGAGCTTTTGTTCCTCTGGTTATATCTTTCAATATTTATTATACATTAAAGCTGATAAATTTAAATATTGAAGTGGCCATTTTTGTATTTAAATATGATTAAATATTTTTAATAACTGAATATTTGGATTAAACATGCTTAAAATATGATGTGAAAATTAACTGCCAAGTAACTGCATTTCTGTGCCAGAATAGTGGAAAGTGTTGTACTGTTTTGTACGATATCTGTTATTTTTGTTTTTATTATGTTGTCAACTTCTCTGTTCCTCATGAGAGAGTGAGAGAGGGGGGAAAAGGACAAATAAATATTTTAGTGTTGTTATGAAAATGAACATGACTTCCTGGATCCCTTGGCAGCATCCCAGTCATCTCACACTGTTGTAACATGTTAAAGCCGGCTATTAACAACTGCCCGTGCAGTGACAACAGGTGGGTCTGAGCCATTCCGAAGCCAGGAGCCCACAGCCTCCTCCGGGTCTCCCGTGTGTATGTAGAGTCCCAAGACTTTTCGCGGTTCTTGACTGCTTTCCCAGGCCACAAGCAGGGAGCTGGAAGGGAAGTGGAGCAGCCGGGATTAGAACCAGCGCCCATATGGGATGACAGACCATGCAAGACAAGGGCTTTAACTGATAGGCTACTGTGCCAGGCCTGGTAGACTTTATTTTTTAAGATTGATTGGTTTATTTGAAAGGCTGAGAGAGACTGTTCCATCTGCTGGTGCATTTTCCAAATGACCACAATGACTGAGTCTGTGCAGGCCACAGCCAGGTCTCTGACACAGGTACAGAAACCCAAGGACTTGGGCCATCTTGATCTGCTTTTCCAAGTGCTAGTAGGGAGCTAAATTAGGAATAAAAAAGCTAAGATTTGAGCTGTCACCCAAGTTAGTGGGACACCATCATTGCATGCAGCAGCTTATGCGGTTTCACAGCACCGCTTCTGGCCTCTGTGGGGCCTCCGTTTGTTCTGTGGAAAATTGCTTGTTTGTTATTTCATACTTGTTACTAAAGTAGTTTTGCTCCTGTTACAGTTTTTAATTTTATGTACTTAGATGCTAGTCTAGTTCTTTATGAAGTTTTATCTAATATAATGCTTTAATAGTACTAATTTACTCAAAACTAGAATGAGTATGGTTTTTCCAGAACTCTTGTGGCTATTTGGGGAATGAACTTGTGGATCGAAGATCTGTCTCTCCTTCTCTCTAGAAATCTGCCTTTTAAATAAAAACAAGATAAATTTTAGTAAATAAATAAATAAAATGAAGTTGAAACAAAGAGGGAAATGATTAAAAAGAAACCTAAATGGATTTTAAATTTGTTGACAAGCAAAACAGAGACAAGATTTTTTTTTTTTTAGCTCAAGGTCTATTTGGATATTTATAACATTGTTCATTGGCTCTACAAAATTATCAAATTATCCTGAGCCTGTCCTCACCTTGCAAGTGTTGTGATCTCATATGGGTGCTGGTCATGTCCCAGTAGCCCCACTTCCCATCCAGCTCTCTGCTTGTGGCCTGGGAAGCCATTGAGGACGGCCCAAATGGGGGCCCATGTGGGGGACGCAGAAGAAGCTCCAGGTTCCTGGCTTTAGCTCAGCTCAAGCCGTTCCCACTACCTGGGGAGTAAATCAACAGACAAAAGATTTTTGTCTCTGTCTCTCCTCTTCTCTGTATATCCGACTTTCCAATAAAAATAAGTCTTTTCAAAAATAATAAGATAAATTTTAAAAATTATCGCTATATAGGTTTATTGAACCGGTCTCACCTGTGTTGCCTTGAAGAGTCTGAGTGAGTGATTTTGTGACTCACAGGCCTGAAGCTGCCCAGCCCTCCCATGTGGCAACACTTGTTTCTTCTTGCCAAAATCTGAGTTTTTTTTTTTTTTTTTAAAACTTTACCATATTTCTCATTTCCCCTGAATGTCTCATGTAGTGAAGCCCTGGATTGCTATTTGTTTATCATACTGACTTGGACTCTTAGTTTTCTTTAAAGTAGAGAAATACCTGTTGGAGACCTGCGTTGTGGTCCAGTGGCTTAAGGTGCTGCATGAAATGCCAGCATCCCACATAGACACCAGTTTACGTCCTAGCTTTTCTTTTTCTGAGTTGAGTCCCTGCCAGAATCCTAGGAAAAGCAGTAAAAGATGGGCCACATATTTGTGCCTTTGCTGCCCACATGGGAAACTTGGGTTCATCTCTTGGTTCCTGCCTGTCCCAACTCTGAAGATGGCAGAAATCTGGGTAATGAACCAGCAGACAAAGATACATTCTTTCTCTCTCTTCTTCTCTCTCTCTCCATCTTCCTTCCTCCCTCTCTCTCACTCCTCCCTTTCCCACAACTTACACTACTGTTACTGTTTCAAATAAATAAAATACTGATTAAAAAGGACAGTGTACCTTCAGTGAAGAAATTAATGATAGTCTACAAAGGTTTTTTTGTAGGAGCAAAATGGTTGTTTCTTAGAGGCTATGAAGAAAATCTGTACATGTTCCCCAGGCATTGGGCACATACTTTGCTGGTGGTGGAAGGAGCACCAAGATTTCTTAAACCTTTTCTTCCTCTTTTCTGCCTTTTTCTTGGGCTGTGACATTTTGTTTGGCTTTTTCCTCTATTCTCTTCGATTCTTTTCCATTTACTTCTTTATGGAATCAAATAAGTGAAACGATAAGTAGTAGGGAAAAACAGAAGTGTTGGTTTGGATGGGGTTTTTCATAACTTTTTTGTTGCTTGTTGAAGCAAGTCTTTCGTATTGTCCCTCATGTACTTATAACATCGTTCTTTATGCTGTAGACGCTATGAAGAGGACATGTACTGGAGAAGAATGGAAGAAGAGCAGCATCACTGGGACGATCGCCGCCGCATGCCTGATGGAGGCTATCCGCATGGTCCTCCCGGCCCATTAGGCCTTCTGGGAGTCCGACCAGGCATGCCTCCGCAGCCACAGGGGCCTGCGGTGAGTATCCACTTGGTGTATACAAGGGCGGACAGTGTAAGACTGCTTTAGCATTAGAAGGTAACAATTTGAGAAGGGTTAATTTTTAGACCTAATATGTTATCTAAGAATCTTGATTTGAGCTTTTTAACTGATTGAGAATTTTCCTTCCTTTTAATTATCTGTTCTTAAGTCCAGTGTCTTTATGTATAAGATTTCAAGAAATTTCCATGAATTTTTTAAAGATTAATTTATTTGAAAGACATGAAAGCCAAATTTATATGCTAACTCTTTTCATATTAAATATTGTTTCTTTGAAGGAAAAACTAATTTGAAGCTGACTGCTTGGCCTTCACGTTAGCTTTGCCTTCCTGACTACTTGTGGAGTGTTTCCCTCTTCACAAACTACCCTAACTGAGTGAAGGGTTGACAGCCGGTTCAGGATAGGCACCCGCGTGTATTGTTGGCAATGTCGTAGGAGAGATCTGCATGTTCAGCGTTTGAATGTGGAGTAAAAGTGTTTTAAGGAACTGTTGTGTGTCATTGTAGGCTTACGCTGCAAAAAACTTGGGTTATTGAAATAAGTATCTTTCAAGCATTACCTATATCTGCTGTTCTAGGCAAGGCTTATACACATCTATGTGTAGCCTGAATGGCATAAATTTTTATGAATTTCGTTTTTCATGAAAAGTTTTTAAAAAAATCGTTTTTAAATGGTCATTTAGCATGAACCAATTTGATTATTGAAAACATAGCAAATACGTATGTGTTGTTCAGTTTTTTTTAAATGAAATGACTTTTTCTCTCTAGCCTTTACGTCGTCCTGACTCCTCTGATGACCGTTATGTAATGACAAAGCATGCAACCATTTATCCAACTGAGGAAGAGTTACAGGCAGTCCAGAAAATTGTTTCTATCACAGAACGTGCTCTGAAACTTGTTTCAGACAGCTTATCTGAACATGAAAAAAGCAAGAACAAGGAAGGAGACGATAAGAAAGAGGGAGGTAAAGACAGGTATGTTCTCATGAGTTTTTCCATTTGTGTATTTTTGGTTTTGCTTACATGGACTTCATATTATATTTGACATCATGATACAAAACTGACAACCCTAGGTCTGAGTCTGCATTCCTTAAATATGCCTGGGACAGATACTTAATGTTTTTACATACATTTTTTCCCCAAAGGTGACACATGTAATTCTGCCAAGAAAACATATCATCTCTACTCTTAACATTTTCACTCATTTGATTTGTTTGTATGGAACTATAACAAGTCTCTTACATTCATTTGCTGTTTTTGTTCTTATGTATTAGTTACATCTGACACATACCCAGTATTAGTTCCAATAACTGTATTTAAAGGGGGAAAATTACTTACTTGAAAGAGCAACAGAGACAGAGGGAGAGACTGAAAGACAAAGAGCTGGTGTATCCATCTGGTGTGTCACGCCTAGTGGGCAAGGCTGAAGCAGGGTTTGTAGAACTGCATCCAAGTCCAGCTGGGTGACCCGAGCGCTTGGCCCACTGCCCACGTTCTCAGGTGCTTAGTGTGCCGCTGGACCCCATGTGGAGTGGGCAGCATCGCAGGACTGCTGCATCGCGACACTGCTCATAAAGCACAAAAACCCTGAGGTGGCAGTTATAAAGTTTGCATTTTTTGTTACTTTTCATTTTCCCTTTATCATTTGGAAATAGTTTTGTCTTACGTTGAACTGACTCTAATTATTCTAACTTGTGAAATAAGTAACAGAATTGTTAGCATCCTTTATTTGCACTTGTCCCCATGAGAATTCAAGTCAATTTTTTTAAATCATGATTGCTTATCTAAACTGAAGTTTAATTCTAAGAATACTGGGTGTTTTCTCCTGTAATTGTTGAAAATTTTAATTGTATGATGGTTATTTCATTGATTCTTGTGTATTTAGAGAATATCATGATTATGATTGAAAATGTGATAATAAAATTAAAATTCTTTTTATTGCAGAGCTTTGAAAGGAGTTTTGCGAGTGGGAGTATTGGCAAAAGGATTACTTCTCAGAGGAGATAGAAATGTACATCTTGTTTTGCTTTGCTCAGAAAAACCTTCTAAGTCATTATTAAGCCGAATTGCAGAAAACCTCCCCAAACAACTTGCTGTAAGTATTATGGAAATGTTAATTTTAATTTTTACCAGTTGTCTGCTGCCTATGTTTTTGGCAGTACTCACTGTGCTTTAGTTTAAGCCTATGCCAGTCTTTAAATTTTTGGCTCAACTTTATATGTTGAATTTTTGGCTTGATTGTGCAAGCCTGTTAAACTATTTTCTACTTTGTCTTTTTAGGTTTTTATGGTACTTGTATTTGACATAAAGCCATCTTCTTTATTTATTTAAAAAAATGTAAAATATCAGCATATGCCTTCTTTTTTCCGTTATTATTCCAATACTTTAGTTGTAAGAAGGCAGTTGCTGAGGACAACAGGTGGTTTTTCGAAAATCAGGTCCATATATAGCTAGCTTAAAATTTTTTTTTAATTTATAAATGTCTTACTTAGTTGAATATATATATGTGTGTGTATATATATATTTTTTGTTGTTGTTTTAATTGAAAAGTCAGATTTACAGAGAAAAGAGGAGAGAGAGAGCTTGTGTTCACTGGTTCACTCCCCAAGTGGCCTCTACAACTAGAGTTTCAGAGCAGTCCGAAGCCAAGAGCCAAGAGCTTCTTCCAGGTCTCCCACACAGGTGCAGGGTCCCAAGGCATTGGTCCATCCTCTATTGCTTTCCCAGGCCACAAGCAGGGAGCTGGATGGGAAGTTGAGCAGCCCGGACATGAACCGGTGCCCATATGGGATCCTTGGCATTCAAGGTGAGGACTTAGTCACTAGGCTATTGCTCTGGGCCCAATTGAATATATTTTTAACATAATATAGTTCATCAGTATCTGATTTAAATTTCTGTATTTTATTCTAAATACAATGGTCCCCTGTTATCCATAAGTATTCCCAGACACTCATAGTACTGAATCCTATACCCATGTACGAGGTTTTTTGCTATAGCTATCTATTATCTCTAGATAGCTATCTGTCTAAAGTTAATGTATGATTAGACATGCGTAGAAAGTAACACAGTAACATGTAATAGCCATGGTGTATAATTTTTTTCTTAAGGTAAAAAGCTTTTACCTTTTCACTTTAATGTGGCATGCTGTCATCTCTGGCATATCGGAATTGGGAGCATCACAACTCTTGTGTTTGTATTGCTTGAACATCAGCACCGTGATGCCTTGAACAGTCCGATAAACAAGAGAGCTCTGAAGTAACTAGTGAATGGATACAGGTGCAGCATGGATTTGTTGACAGGGATGGTTTACATCCTAGGCACTAGATAGCATCAGGTTTTGTTAAAACTACACAATGTAACACTTAAAATGATCTGTTCCTGGATTGTTCCATTTAATATGTTTGGGTAGTGGTTGATTATGGTAACTGAAACCATCACAAGCAAAACCACAAGTAAGCAGGAGACACTGTATTTTCCATCTTCTACATAGATGTTTATAGTGTTAAGAAATGCCTCTCTTGTCTCCAGTAAATCCTGGTAAGCACAAGTAATGGAGCATTCCTTTTGGTGCTATGATTAAGTCGCTAATCCACATTCTGTTCCTGCTTCTTGCTAATGTAAACTCTAACGGAGGCAGTAGAGTGGTGGGAAATTCAGTTCAGTTCCTGCCAGCTTGGGCCTGAGCCACACTCCATCACTGAGGGCATCTGGGGAGTGAACCAGTAGATAGCACCTTCTCTGCAATTGTTTTTTTCTCAATGCTTCTCAAAACAGATGAAAAAAAAAGCTTTAATTTTATATATTAGCTTGTCAAAATAACTTAAGATTTAAAGTTTTTTTTTTAATTCAAAGATTCAAAAATCAGGATATAAAATTTTATTTTAAAACTTTGTGATTTAATTAGGCACTCTAAATCCAAGGATCTGGTTTTTATTGGTAACGCATATTACTGCAATGAGTCAGAGTGGCACCATGTCACAGCAGAGCAGCTAGGAGGAGAAACGTGGTGTTGAAGTTTATCTCTGGCATTGATTGTTGTTTTAGATTCCCAGTGTTCTAGATAGAGTTTCTTATTATAGGATAATTTCTGTGTTTTAAGTATTTCCTAACAAATTAGTAGTTAATAGTTAAAGAATATACGCTGCCAAATCCATCACTTTTTATTGTAAAAGTAGATAAATGGATAAATGATTCATCATTATCATTATTATGGCTAGTGTTTATCTAGTATTTACTGTTCTGTAAAATTGATCCATTTAAACTTTTATGTGATATGATAGTTTTTTTTTAATCTAAGAATTCATCATGTAAGAGACATGTGTAGATATGGTATTAGTTCAATAAAAAATGCACAAAAATAAGGAGGATCAAGAAATAAATAATGTTGGCATATATTGACATATAATTCTTAGATGAAGTTGTATGTGGTGTAGTCCTTATGCCTTATGGAATGTTATGATAGAAAGATAAAGTGATGACATGGAAACTGTTCTTTCTTCTTGTTGGAATAGATCCAGCTAATTTCTTATTTCATTTCATAGGTTATAAGTCCTGAGAAGTATGACATAAAATGTGCTGTATCTGAAGCAGCAATAATTTTGAATTCATGTGTGGAACCCAAAATGCAAGTCACTATTACTCTGACATCTCCAATTATTCGAGAAGAGAACATGAGGGAAGGAGGTTGGAAAGCCATTAAATACTCTACTGTCCTATTTTTTAAAAACTTTTAAAAATTTATCTACTCTTTTTTAAGATGGCATATAGCCCTGGAAGGCAACATGCTGGCATTACAAATGAATTTGATAGATTGGACTTATTTAGCAACCAGTTCTGCTTAAGATCATTGCTTGCAAAGCATATGCTCTTTTTAGTGAAGTATTTTTGTATAAAATATTAATGGTATGGTTGATTTTCTTGAATTTTCTTTTCTTGCTAACCTCAGATTTCTGGAAAAAACCTTTAAAATCATTTTTGTTAGCAGTGTTTTAAATGTTTCTAGTAACTAATGGTTACAAGTTTAACTTCTGTTAAGTTCTTTCTCTTGCCTTTTGTTACAAAAAAGACAAAAGAGTTGCACAAGTGAAATTGGCTAAACACTCATGACATTGGCATTGAAGAGAAGTTGTGTAGTCATGGATTGGCTTGTTCTGAGATGGGTATTTCTAGTTCTCTGAGGTTGCTTTTTGCTGTGGAGCACTTACTGTGCTAAGTGCAGAGCATCCTGATGCACCTACACGTGGACTTTGACCCTAAGGTCTTACCAGATGTATTGAAAAATAAATGGTACAAATGTAACTAGCTAGTCAAAGCAGCCAAGGTTTTTAAACATAACATTGTAGACTATGAGATCCTGCTGGTGCCAGCAATGTTGCTTTAGGGACTGTTCTGTAATGTTTTTAAAGCTTCGAAAACTTTTAAGCAGAAAAGCATGACCAGTGTCCTCAGTTGTTGGTACTGTTGTTTTATGGGTCAGATAAAATTTACTTTGTTTCCTTTCATGTTGTTTTTATACATTAACTTATTGAGTATGGAGTTAAAATATACCCTGATATTTCTTAGCGAAATAGGTTAAGCCAGTCCCTTTAAATTGGTTTTATTGCAGAGCAGTTGTTTCTAAGACACTGGGTTTTTTACATCCCAGGAAAAGAACATTTTGCTAAAAGTGTCATTAGGAGACATACTTATTGTAACATACTTTTATATGAATATATACATGTACACACACTATATTAGGACTCTTAAGTTATATCTTAAACTTTACAACTTAAAAATCAGTGGCTTTTGTATAAAGGATTTTTTTATATGAACATGAGTTTCCACTCAAGGTCTGGTTATGGGTGTTGTTGGAGAAATAGTTTCTGAGTCGATCTGGTCAGGTCATATGTAGCATGTGACCGCATAATTAAGATTTCAAATAAGATATAAAAATATTGCTGTATTTAGTAGAAAATTGTGCTCATATAGCTGTCTTAATTTACTTCAAAGTACATTTTTTTCCAGTTTGTTTATTATCAAGCCATTTTATTATGTTTCAGAAGTCTGATTTTAGACCTAAGATGTTTATAGTGAATTGTTAACTTATCCCTTTTAAAGGAAACAAAATTATATTTTTGTCTGACCCAGACTTCAGTTAGAATTACTGTTCTGAATTTCTTAAACATGATTGTGAGGGATCTGATCAGTCCAAAATTGAAAGAGATTGCTTCCAGACACTGAGCTGAAAAGTTGAATGTGCACAAATGTAGAAGCACTGATAGTGTCCCTGCTGCAGATCACTGCAGTAGACCATGTCTGTAGCTTCATTATGAAGATTGCTTCTTTCTTGCTGCAGAATAACGGTATGTATTCTCTCAGACTGCAGCTCCCAGCGCTCTGTGTCTTCGAATCATTGAAAGCCTATAGCTTGCTTTGGGGAGATAGTACGAGGGATAAGGAAGGCTTTGCCGGAAAGAAGAATTGTAAATCAATTGTGCATAGTATGTTAGCCTCTTTATTGTGTAGTAATCCCATTTAATCAAAAAAAATACCTAATAAATGATTAAATTGTCCAAATAACTGTTAAACACATGACACATGTATTTTTATATACTGTGTTTGACAGTTAAACATTTAGTAACCATTTAATTGACTTTTAAGTTTGAAATGTTCGGAATGCTCTAACCCTTGCTACAGAGTTTGTCTGCAGCAAGCTAAGTATTATTATGTATGTTTTCTTCCACTTGTAGCTTATCAGGCCCGGTCCAAAGCCTTCTAGGAGGGGATTGATTGATTCCTGTCAGGGGTTGCTGCCAAGACATCGGAAGGATTTTTGACCAAGGTTTTCAGAAGCTCAGTGTCACATCTGCCGTTTGATCAGGGAGGGATTTTGGATGCAGAGTCTGGCATTTGCTGTCCTTTGTGTGGCTGTTTTGTTTGTTCTGTCCTTGTCTTTTCTAGAATGGAGCAGTGTTCACACTAGTTTTTAAATGGTTGAGTGGTTTTTATATTTTATATAACCATGTTAATTTAAATTAATCTATTCCCATTAACCTTTAATCATAAAATAGTGTGGACACAGCATGTCTTCTAATTAGTGATTAACCCCTTACAATTAATAAATGTAGAAAAAAGATCTGTATTTTAATAAATCAACTGATTTTTTGTTTTGTTAACTGAGTGTTAGGCCACAGCTATGATTTTTAGCGCAATATATCTAAGGGGTTAATCCATTTGAAATATAAAATGGGTGCAAAAATCCACACTCAAAATTTTAACAAATTTCTTACATTTTTAGATCTAATTAGCTTTTAAATTGCAATAGGTATCTTGGCATCTTTGAATTTATATCACTTGTTAAAATTTGCAAGGTTGTGAATGCTTATAAATAAACATTTTCTTATTTTTGGGGAAATTATAAATTAACATAGAAATTTAGAGGCTGTTAGGAGATTGTGCATTCTCACCTATTTGCATTTTGTTGGCAAACAACATAGTAAGAGCAGGAAAAGAGATCTTATTATTATTATCTGCATACCCAGGGGAGAGAGAGGTTTTCTGCTATTGATGTTTGCTCTTTCCTTTCTGAAAATTCTTAGTTTGCTTACCCATGATCCTTTTCCCCTTCAAAATTATTTCTTTTGCTCAAGTTACATCAGGGTACAGCAGCTGCTCTTAAAAATTTTGGATTATTGCATAAAATTGCTCTTTCAGTGTTCATTCTCAAGATGCCACAGCATTCTACTTGGCTGTCTGTGAGTCTCCCCTCTAACACATCTCCTGAAAAATGGTGGCCATCTAACTAAGGAGCAAAAACTAAGAAAACAAAGTACAGACCAGGAGCGCTATTCTTCAGATGATAACTTGAACGGTGCAACTAGAATTCCTAATGTCATCTTTAACTTTTTCCTATTATACTCATTCATAAATGTCTTTGTCTATCATAGTCATTTGATTTACTCAATGGATTATTAAATCCTTTGTGCCCCGTAGTTTTGATGCCTTTTAGCAAAATGGCTGTTAATAATGAGTTGATTATGTAGTTTTTCTGTATTTAAGATTTTCTTGAAATCAGTCACAATTGGGAATTTAAATTTAATTGCAATTTGCTTGCTTTTGCTTTGATAGCAAATTTGCTGTCAGTTCTATACACATTTTACAGATGTTTAGCTTCATGTTTTCTCAAATTTTATGTAGCTCATTTGTATTTGAATCAACTTAAACACTGCATATTATTTAATCTTAAATGCAGTCTCCTTATTGCTTCTTTTCTGTACTTAATTCTGTATAACCATGCTAGTTCCTATTGTTTTTCTGCTATCCATTATTTCTCTCTACTTACTCTTTAGTATAGTTAAATAGTAATTTAAAGATATCTCATAGTCTCTAATAGCTAAAATCCTTTTGTGGAAGAACAAAAGTTGAACTCTTCTAAGTGCCTATTTTGGGCTTATCATCTTTTATGATTATATCATTTCATGTTCATCATGAGTTCTTTGCTACATTAGTCCCAAAACAACCTATGACTATTTAGATATTGAACAAACTCAGCAGTTTATTGTACATTCTCATTTATCAAGGTGGATTTTTGTGTTCCCTCTTGTCTTGTCTTTGTGCTGGTGCACTGTATCCAGTAATCTTTCCTTTAGATATCATTTTGGTGGGTAGGGTTTATAGTCCCAAAATTTATTTATTCAATTAAGAGTTGAATTTAACCCTTTGTTCTTTATTGGTTTATTTAAATTTGAATGTTACTCCCTGGGTAAATTAGAGTACTGACAAATTCTCAAATGGCTCATGTGACACTGATGCTACTTTAAGGAAGTGTCTTGCTCACCTGGTCAAACACCCATTCCTCACTGCATTTTGCCAATTCAATCCATTTTAGATGTAACCTCGGGTATGGTGAAAGACCCACCGGACGTCTTGGACAGGCAAAAATGTCTTGACGCTCTGGCTGCTCTACGCCACGCTAAGTGGTTCCAGGTTCGGAACATCATTTTACTTTTTTCTTGTAGCCTTATGAGAGAGTAGTTCAGTACAACATGTTTAACTGTGCTTAAACATTTCAAAAGATCACCCAAGCAATACTATTTTAAATTAAATCTCATAAAATATGTTAACATAGAAAGCTGGCTATGAATATACAATCTGCATATTGCAGTTACTATTAATTTGACAAACTTTTAATAAGGTTTTTGGGTGTTTTGTAGTGTGGGTGTTTGGTTGGTATTTTTAGTGGCTATAATTAAAGTTGACTTGTTTAGAAGCATCACATTTGTGTATATACATTATATTCCATAAGGCTGCAGATAACTTTGCTTTAAATAATGGAATATGTGTTTAAAGCTTTGTGTATAGGATTAAGATTTCCCCCTTCTTTCTCTCAGTCAATAGGTGTAGGGAGTGAAAGGTGAGGAAGCAGCTGTTTGGTTTAGTGACTTTGCAGTCATGCAAAGGCACAGAAGGGAAACCAAACAGATTTCCTTAACCTTTCAGTCTCTACACAAACTTTTTAGCTCTTTACTTTTTCTTTTATTTCTAAAGTAGGCAGATTTTTTTAAGTTTCCTGTTTTAAATGAACACAGGTCAAGGTTCACAGGAGATCAAGAAATATTATTCTTGCATAATCTGTTTACTTTGACCTAGATACCAGCTTTTAAATACTAACCCTGGCATAAAATATTGCTGTAAATGGCAGCTCATTGAATACAATTTTGAATGCAATTATGTTTATTTTTATCTGAGCTTCCATTGAACAGTGGTATTTTACCTTTTTTCCAAGGGGTCGTTTCAGTATTTCTAAGGTTGATTCAGGTGGTTTTGTGTTGCTCTCAAGGCTCGCGCGAATGGGCTGCAGTCCTGTGTGATCATCATCCGCATCCTCCGAGACCTGTGTCAGCGAGTCCCCACCTGGTCTGATTTTCCAAGCTGGGTAAGTGGGAAAAACCAAACAGCAAGTATTACTGGTCACTTTATATCCTCTTGCCTTGCACTTTCATTGATTAAATGTTGATTTATTGTTTCACTTCTAAGAAGAAATCCTGTAGTTTTGATAGTGTTTTAATTTATCAGAATTTACTAATTAAAGAATTATACCTGGAGCCTGTGCAATGGCTAAATTAGCTAATCTCCCTGCAAATATTGGCACCTGAAAAGGGTGACAGTTTGTGTCCCAGCTGCTGCATTTCCTATCCTTCTCGCTGCCAGTGACCTTGGAAGGCAGTGGAGGATGACCCAAAGCCTTGGGATTCTGTTTCCATGGGAGACTCAGAAGAGGCTCCTGGCTTCAAATCAGCTCAGTTCTGGCCGTTGCAGCCATTTGGGGAGTGAACCAGCAGATGGAATATCTTTCTTTCTGTCTCTCCTCTATAAATGTGTTTCAGTTTAAAAAAAAATCTAAAAAAGAATTATAATTGGGGGCTGCCACTATATTGTAGAAGATTAAAATTATGTCTCTGCCTGTGGTATTAGCATTCTGTTTGTACACTGGTTTGAGTCCTATTGATTCCAATTCCCATCCAGCTCCCTGCTAATGTGCTTGGTAAAGCAGTGGATGATGGGACCAAGCGTTTGGGGCCCTGTACCCACATGGAAGACCCAGAAAGGCTCTGACATTGAAGTATGCTTGCTGCTGCTTGGACGCGCCAAGGATCCTTGTACGCGCCAGGATCCTTGCACGCGCCAGGATCCTGTATGGGCACCAGTTCTAATCCCAGGGGCCCTGCTTTCCATCCAGCTCCCTGCTTGTGCCCTGGGAAAGCAGTCGAGGACAGCCCAAAGCCTTGGGACCCTGCACCCACATGGGAGACCTGGAGGAAGCTCCTGTTGCCAGTCTTTCAAGGCTGAGCTTTAGCTGTTGTGGCTGCTTGGGGAGTGAATCAGTAGATAGGAGATATCTCTCTGTCTCTCCTTCTTTGTGTATCTCTATTGTTCTAATTTTTTAAAAAAAATAAATCTTTAAAAAAATACAATGTTTGTATGCATACATACACACTTAGCCATAACAGCCAGAGCTAGGCCAATCCAAGACAGGGCCCCGGAGCTTCTCTGGGACCCCCTTCTGGATGCAGGAGCCTGAGGATAGGACTTTGTTGCACTGCTTTTCCTGGGCACATTAGCCGGAAGCTGGATCAGAAGCGAGCAACTGGGACTCGAACTGGTGTCAGCCTCATAGATGAAAGATTAACCTATGCCGTAACACTGGCCCAGTTTTTACTTTTATATTCCTTAATCCCTGAGTAATTCCGGTTCCTGAATAGCAAGAATTAAGACAGATTCATTGAAAAATGAAACCTAGTGAATCTGGAGTTGGGTTAGTGAGAGTTGAGTAGCCAAGCTTTCCTTTAAAAAAATTAAAGCACAAAAAAAGACTGCTATTTTTATTGCTATGTGTTACTGCTTCTTTTTTCCTTCTCTCTTTTTAAAAATATGAATACTTGCGTCACAGTTACAGAGGTTTGTTTACAGAGATCTTCCATCCATTTGTTCACTTCCAATGTGGCTACCGTGGTCAGGGAAAGCCCAGGCTGGAGCCAGGAGCCAGGATCTTCTAGGTCTTTCACATGGCTGGCAGGGGCCCAAAGATGTGATCATTTTTTTATTAGTATTACCTAACACATTAGCAGGTGGCTGGAAGTGGGTCATCCATGACAAGGATTGCCTCCCAAATGGGGATTCCAGCATCACAGGTGGCAGCTTTATCAAGTAAGCCACAATGCTGGTCCCTGTTGCAGTTTTCTTAAAATATGTCTTGTGGTTCTTTATAAAGGGACAAATTTCCCTAATTCTGTGTATTTACTGTTATAATTTTCTGAGTTGGTGTTCATTTGATCCACATTTGGGTTATGTTTAGCTACTGAATCTTCGTTATTCTTTATGTAATTAGTTGGTCAAGCTTTTTTTTTTAAAGATTTATTTATTTTTATTTTTATTGGAAAGGCACATATACAGAAGAGGAGAGACAGAGAGGAAGATCTTCCATCCAGTGATTCACTCTCCAAGTGGCTGCAATGGTCAGAGCTGAGCCTATCTAGATCCAGGAACCAGGAGCTTTCTCCAGGTCTCCCATGCGGGTGCAGGGTCCCAAGGCTTTGGGCTGTCCTCGACTGCTTTCCCAGGCCACAAACAGGAAGCTGGATGGGAAGTGGGGCTACAGGGATTAAAACTGGCACCCATATGAGATTCTAGCACGTGCAAGGTGAGGACTTTAGCCGCTAGGCTACCGCGCCAGGCCCAAACTTTTGAGGATAGTAGAATTTGGAGGAACTCTAATGTCATTTAAAAAATAAATGTTAGTTGGTCACCAGAAGGTGTTTTGATTTCAGATTTATTTTTTTGTGCCCGGCACGGTAGTCTAGTGTTAAAGCCTCACTTTGCATGCACCAGGATTTTGTATGGGAGCCCGTTTGTGTCCCAGCTACTCTCCACTTCCCATCTAGCTCCCTGCCTGTGGCCGGGCAAAGCAATAGAGGATGGCTCAAAGCTTTGGGACCTTTCACCCAAGGCATGGGAGACCCAAAAGAAGCTCCTGGCTCCAAGGTTCAGATTGGCTTAGCTCTGACTGTTGCAGCCATGTAGGGAATGAACCGGTAGGTGGAAGAGCTTTCTCTCAGTCTCTCCCCTCTCTACAAATGTGCCTTTCTAACAGTAGTAGGTGGGGTTAGACCAGGCCTATCCAAGAACCAGGAGCTCATACAGGTCTCCATGTGGCTGGCAGGAAGCTAAATGTCTCTGGCATCGCAGGTCATTTGTGGGAAGTTGGACTGGAAGCATAGGAGAGTTGGCCTCACACGAGGCACTCCAGTGAGGGGTATGGGTTCCAGAAGCAGTAATTTCACTCTGATAATCATTAGGCTTCATCTTTAGCAGTTTCAGACCGCTGTTAGTGGCTCATCTTTACATGCTCACTAGCTCTGAGAATTATTCTCACTTATTAATGATATTAGACACAGTATCATATCTGTTTTACTTTTATTTTGACTGTTGACATCAGTAGTTTTGCTTGGCAGTTTCTTTGATACCTGTCATTTACTGAATTATATAAACTTTATAATATAATAGAAAAATTGTCCCTTATTCATGTGGAAAGGTTTTTTTTTTTTTCAATTTTTACCATTTCTAATTAGTTTACCTAACTTCTGGATTTTTTACTTTGTTTACTTACAAAGACCTCTCATGTGAGGTTACAAATTGATTTATATATATTTTTCATCTAAACACTTTCTGTAATTACATATGTGTATGTTTTTAAATTTTGGTCTTTCTTTGAAATGCAAAAAATGACAGAGATCTTCTACCTAAAATATCTTCCAACTGCTGATTTTTTCCCTCATTTTGATCCCCCAGTGACTAGGACTGTGCCAGGCTGAAGCCAGCAGCTAAATATTCATCTAGATTTTCCACATGAGTAGCAGGAACCCTCGTGTTGCAGCCACCATTTGCTGCTTTCCCAGGCATATTATAGGGAGCCAGATTGTGAGCATAGTGACTTGGGACTTGAACCAGTGGTCCCTGGTGGGATGCTGGCATCCTAAATGTCTCCTTAATGTCCTACACCACAGTGCTGACCCCTCTCCCTTCCATGTATGTGTGTGAAATAGGTAGCACAGACTCTTGAAAAGGGATGATTATACCTTAGAATATTGGTTACTTCTAAGGAATGGGAGGGAAGGGATGATTATGGGAGATACTTGTTGTTTAATTTTTACCAGAATGAAATAAACATACATTTCTTGTTGTAATAAAAATGAACCAAAAAGTCATATGTGAATCAAAAATGAGTCCAGTTGTGTTATTCTCCAGATAGGTTGCCATATGCTGTGTTTAAATGGTTCAGTGCTATCTACTAAGTTGGGGCTTCTTTTAATTTCATTAAAATTTTTCTTAAACTGGTTTCATGTTTCAGAATAACTGCCTACCATTTGCCATTACTTCAGTGACAATTTGTTAGGTTACAGCTTTTCCCTCTTTTTTCTAACACTGCATTAAATTTGGGCATTTGATTTTGCAAATAGGTCCAACCTTATCTTTTCTGCCCTTTTTGTGGAAGTTCTTTGAGGAATTTTTTTTTATCATTGGATTTTATTAACTAAGCCAAATTAGCTCTTTGAATCTACTGGTCAGCATTTCTTTGAAACTTGCATGTTCTTTTGTCCTGCAGATTTTTTTCAGTTAATCAAGAAGGAAACAGTTTATTATGTCCAGTGGATATGATTCTCTGTTCTAGAGACAGAGATTATCCTGAGGTTGAATTGTCTGTTATCTTTCTTGTAGCTGTTCCTCATTCTGGTGTGACACACAGTGCCAATTGCCCATCCCTGAATTGCTCAGTTTAAAATGGTTGGATGGATAGGAGGAGTGCAGGCATTGTGGCACGATGTGCTAACCCACTACTTCCAACTCTGGCATCTCATATTAAAGTGCTGGTTTGAACCCCAAGTACTCTACGCTTCTGATCAAGTTTCCTGATAATTTACCTGGGATCATGCCTCCAATGTGGCAGATCCAGATGAAGTTCCAGACTCCTGGCTTGAGCCTGGCTCACCTCCTTCACCTTCCTTCACACTTGCAAGAATGAACCAATAGGTGGAAGATTGATCTCTGGGGTGTGTGTGTATGTCCATCTCTCCCTTAATTGTCCCTCTGTCATTATTCCTTCATCTTTAGCTCTGCCATGTGGTGCAGTGTGTTGAGTCTAGGGAGTTAATCAGAAGGTGGAAGCTTTTATTTCTCTCTCTCTCTCTCTCTCTCTCTTTCTATCTCTTTCTCGCTCGCTCGCTGTCTTTCTGTCACTGTAACTAACTTTCAAGTAAATAACAGCTTTGAAAAAAAGAGGCTGGGGTGATATAACATTTCCCTATGTTGGAATGGTACTTAAAGGGTTTTTAATTTTGTTTTTAGTTATTAAGGTTAAATTTGAGAATTCGTGACTGT